AAGTAATTCCAATCTCTGTGTGTTTCATAATAAACCAAGCCTAAAAATGCTGGAGAGCAGAACTTACTGGGAGTTGGTACAGCAGGAGGAAGGGATGCCATCCGAAGGGACCCCAACAAGTTTGAGAAGTGGGCTGCAGGAGCTGTGCTTGTTCAGCCTGGAGAAGGTTGCAGGAAGACCTCATGGTGACCTTCCAGTTCTTAAAGGAGCTCATAAAAAACATGGAGAGCATCTTTTGACTCGGTCTGATAGCGATAGGACAACGGGGAATGGCTTTAAACTAGAAGAGGGGAGATGTGAGGAGGAAATTCTTTACACAGAGGGTGATGAGGCCATGGCACTGCTGGCCAGAGCTGGGGGTGCCCCATGCCTGGAGGCTCCCATGGCCCTGGGCTGCCTGAGCTGCTGGGGGGCACCCAGCCCATGGCAGGAGTGGAACTGGATGGGCTTCAATGGAACTGGATGGGCCCTTTCCAACACAACTGTGCTGTGATTCTGTGATTGTAAACCTGCAACTGGAATGGACAGTTAGATGACACGCTTCCTTAACGCTTTCTTTTCCTAGTCCACCTGTTCTTTTTCTCCCCCCTGGGAACAATCCTTTGCCTGCTATCAAATTCAACTTCAAATTCAACCTCTCTGTTGACATACGATGCATTTTATCATTCTCCAGAACCTGTTGTGAAAGAGAGCTGTAGGATGCCTTAACCTATTGAAATCACAGTTGCTATGTAAGAACCAGAGCCATTATCACACACAGTTTGAACAGGACACCGTCGTTCATTTTAGGTGTCCTGAGACCTTCAGACTATGAATGATATCTACCAGAAAGCTGATATCTTCACGCTCGGGCTGTCTTGGAAAGTATCAATTTTCAGTCTGAACTAATTTTGTTTATCGTTACTCTGAGACATTGCCCACTGAAATACAGGCTGTGCTCTGTTCCACGCTTTACCTTAAGCAATCAATGTGTTCCACATCGTGAGATGGGTCAGATTCCTGAGCTGCTGTTTTTCCTGTTGACACAGTAGCTGCCGTACAACCACAAAGGAGCTGACTCTTATCTCCTTTATTGTAATATACTCCATCTACTGACTGAAAAACCTTGTGGAGGAAATTATGCAGAAAATCTAAAAAGAACTGAAAAGGGAAATGGTGATCCTGTGGTTAAGGGCAATAGTCTGGATCAGAAATAACTCAGAACTCTGTCCCCAGCTGTCATTTGCTTACATAATGTCAGTCTCTCAGTTTCACATCTGCAGAACACGGATATTTACTCATCATACACTACATTTATGCACACAGGCTGCTCAAGTAAACACCAAAGGAAAGCTTTAGGTAAATGGTTCCATTTTGCAACAATTCCCTTTTAATACACTCCCTAATTTTAACACATCTGATGGAAAAAGTCATCTTCCTGGTAAAAGTATTAAGAAATTCTTACAGTGTGCAGAAGGGAGGCTGAGAGTTTTAAGCATCGAGATGAAAGCACCCCAGTATTTTATATGGAAAGCAAGAAGACAACCACTCATTGCCTGGCATTGCAGGCTGGATTCCTGTTTGAGAGCAAAACTGGCAGCTGTTTTGTAACATGCTTTCTCACTCTTTCATTTTGCAAGCTCTCAGATATGCCAACACACAGTTGCAGAGTTATTTTGCAGCTCACAATTCAGACGAGAACACAGCATCCTTGAATTTTAACTCCCGGATCCCACTCCAGTGTGCAGCACACGTGAAGGACTGCACCTCACACTGAGGTCACTGCCAGCTGCCCCTGGATCGTTACTGTCAGACAACAGGCAAAACAGAGCTAAGGCAATCTGAAGACGAAATTGCAAAATTAAGGTGGTAAACATAAGCAGCACTGAGTCACAACACACTCAGTTACGTTCGGGCTGCATAAGCAAGAAGTGTGGTGTAACCAACAATTACACATCCTTACTGTTTGTCAGGTCAAGGTCACTGCAGGGCTGTCAGTCGTTTGGTGGCCGTGCTGCAGCATTCTCCTGACTTCACTCTGTGGGCCTCTTACACTCCTTTTGCTAGCATCAGCTATCACTTGAAATCTCAATGCAGGAACTGTAACAGGGGTTCAGGAGAAGCAGAGTCAGAACACTTTAGGTTCATATATGCTCATCTCTCTTCTTTTAATATGTTAAATAACTTTTCAGGTGGGGAAAACTCATTACTGTGCTTTTCTACAGCTGCAGCTTTTGAACAGAGCAAAAACCCTTTTTCATAACATCAAGACATTGTACCATTGCTTTCAAACACACACCAAGCTCTCCAACATCATCTGACAACTGAACCTGGAATTGAAGGTTGAAGAATGAAAGGTGCTACATCACTAAGCCCCTCTTACCACATGGGCTGCAACCTCAACTGACATCAGCACCAAACCAGTTGCTGGGCCTACTGAGAGCATCGAATAATACGTTACCAATGGCAGCTGAAAAAAATTAAATCAGACTTTTTGCAAAAATACAGTCACAAATTAAGTTTCATTTTTCAAGCTTCAATTGTTTTAGGGGAGAGAAAAACTGAGACAGGCTGCATCTGTTTGGAAAAGCTCAAATGTCTTTGGAAACACTGCCTGCTGTTTGTTCCAGCTGAGCTATGGCAAACCTCAAGGGGACACAAAAACCTTTGTTCTTACAGTGGATTCCTTTCTATACCTTCCAATCTAAGACATGAGAAAATGCAGTTCACCTCCAGCTTACCCAAAGAACCTTCTGCTTTCTTACCAACAACAATTCCTGTCAAATCATGATGCTCCTGCAATTTATAACAAGAAGGGATAAGTTCTCCCTCAAAGTGAGAAACCACTTATATTACTCAATGACACAATTTATCCCAGTACTTCTAATGAACTCAGTGTGTCTAGCAAGATTGTCTTTAGAGGTAATCATCTAAGCAAAGTTAAATCTGAACAGAAGATGCACGTGTGTGTCTTTAAACTGCACATTCGACTTCAGCTCTTGCCCTTGATGCCTCTCCTAAGGCATTAATTCAGCAGCATATCAGAAAATCAACCGACCTCACCAGTCCATGAGAACTGGAGGGGTGTTTTCCCACCAGCCTTTATGTCTGGGTTCTGTAGCCGGTCAATGGAGCTTGAAAGGCTTCAATGACCCTGTAGGAAACCAGACACCTAGCTCAGGAAAATGTAGATGTGCAGTTTATTGAAAAGACATCCTCTACTGATTACTGTCAGCGTGGTTACAAATGTCACCTTTGTGCAGAATTGAGATAAAAAAATATCACAGAGGCATGCTGTTGTCATATGGGTTGATTAAAAAGAAAAAGTAACAACAGTGTGCAGAGTTCTCCAAGCAAAAGATAATAATTAACATTAACAGATCAACTTCAGCAAGGGATTTCTGCTCTGCCTCCACCTGGGCAGGTTTTTCAAGGCAGGGAATTCAAACAGAATCCAAACCAAAGCAGCATTTCCTTTCTGATGCAAAATATTCTATCGTTTCTCCATTTCAGGTGCATTTGAAGTTCATACCATAAGGCTGTTCTGCTGGAGAACAGCAGATGGTACAGGTGGTGTAGGGAAGCAGCGTGAAAAATGGGAGTGCAAGCATGTACCACCCAGATCTGCCTTATGCCAAACGAAAAGGATGAAAGAACTGTTTAGCAATATGATGAAACAGACAGTGAACACCAACACCCACTGCTGAGCTCCATTTGACTACAGTGTTTGTGTACGTAAAGTCTCAGTACACAGAGGCCTGCACTGAAAGAATGCACTTTGTACACACATGGGCCATGACTGAGCACAAAGGCAATTCCCAATATCCAGAGAAATTTCATCAGAAGATGCATTTGCCGGTTCCAATCTGCAAAAGCAGCAACGGATGAAGGCAGCAGGAGGATTTATTTGCAAGAAAAAAGGAGGACAGGCTGATTTTTAGAATAGAGAAAGAAAAAGAAAGCCTTCAAATCTTTATCCTCATCTGAAAAAGGCACAGCTCTGCCTGAATTTCTGAGGGCAGAGGGCGCCCTCTGTGATCCACAGGGAACATCTGCACCACGGTTAATGGGAACACGTCAACTCAGGCTGAAATTATCGTGGAGAGCTGCTGAGTGAAATTAGAATCATGGCATCACTAACCTAACTCTCATCCCTCACTCAGATTTATATTAGAAGCTGAGAAGCTGCACCATTCTCCTGCTGCTGCTAGGATAAGCAGCTTTTATTGCCAACACGTGAATGCTAAGGTAGACTTTGGTATCTACACAAACTGCAAGTGCTTGCCTTCCCATTGAATGTCTCTTTCCTTTGCAGTGGGTTTTTTCTGCCATGCCTCCAATACACCTACAGTATACAGCAGTGTTTGTTCTCAGCTTAAATCCAAACATTAACTAATTTATCCCTTCTTTGGTCAGCAAGACAGGACTGATTAGTGCCAGGTTACTTCAAGTTTCCTTCTCTATCTGTTACTAAAGTTGATTTAAATTCCAGTTATGAAAATCCAAAATTTCCACCCAAAATGATCACATTTCATCCACGTTGACACAAACTCTGAAAACAAATGATCCTTCTTCCCTACCTGCACCATTTAAAGAACAGATCCTTTGAGCTGATGGCAAAGAGCACTGGTTCAAACAAAACAAAACCAAATGGTCACAAAGGTACAAAACTGTTTTGGGTACAAGCAGAACAGCCATTATGGTACAAGGCAGATTTGTTTGATGGAAGCTGGAAAGTGATGAGCCACAGAGGGCTGCTTAAACCTTACCATGCACGTCAACAGTCGCAAGGTGACATTTCTGCTTTCAAAGCTGAACTGAAGAAGAATGACACCACTTAAAAGTCATTAATTTTCACAGTACTTTTTTTTTCTACTTTGGGAATACTGATGATTTACTATGTGGTGTAGAGAGGAATGGGATTTATCTGTTTTGGACTGATGAGCTTGTAGCTAACGATGGTTATTTACAAGTGAGATGTTCCTCGGTAGCAGGCAAAAAAAATCCTCTTGAGTCACACATCATGGTGGTGGGTTTTCTTTTTTAATACTGCTAGTTAATAGAAATACGAAAGCATAAAACAATGACTGAAACATTTTACAACCCTGAGGTCAAGTCCCAAGAGAAAAGAAAAAAGAAGTTTGACATTATTTAGTGTTTTCCAGCGCTGTATTTGCACATTGCTTATTCTTTTATTGTTTTCTCAAAGGCCTACGTACTCTGCAATTCATAATCAAACCAGAATGTGTCAATGCAACACTACCTTTGCAAGAATAGAAACAGCTCTGCACAAGAGACTCTCCACCTCCTAACAAAATGGTACTCAGCCCCATAATGGTCACGCTGTAGGCCACTATAGTGCAAAGAAACAGGCAGTCAGTAAATAAATTACAAAAATAGCAGTCTTTTCAGCTCAGGGAGAAATCTTTCAGTTAACCTGTTTAAAACAGACTGAAAGTATCAAAGGGAAGCACTGTCTTTAAACTGCATACTGGTGAGTTTTGCCTTCTCTCCAATACACTGAAAATTGCTATTACATGCTCAAGAGATGTAGGGGGCAAAGGCAAAAATATCCAAAGGGATTGCAGTGCTGAGATACAACTAATCTCCCAGTGATAAGAGCCCACATTCAGCTCAAAGCACTCTTTTAAAAGCCCATAATTTGAGATGTGGTTGGGAACACAAGGTGGGTGACAGTAACTTTTGATGTGCACAGCAATACAAATTAGATCATCTACCAAGCATCCACGCTGTGTACATAGGAGAGCCAATAACTCAGACAGGCAAGTCAATACAAAACAGATAATCACCACACCTTCACCTAGGAAGGTAAATGAGCCTGAGATAGCACACTGAATAAACAAGCCCACACAGCCAGTGCCCTTAGTAAGGAAAAGGCACTGTCTGCAGGACTAGCAGCTTTTAGAAAAGACAGTCCTTTGAACAGCCCCATGTCCAGACTGCAATATTAGTTCTGTTGAATTCTTCCCCTTAAAAATGTCATTTCAAAAATGAAGTTCCCCTTAGGCTGTAGGATGCTTTGGAAAACTAATGGAGAAGCCAGTCTCACCTTCCAAAAACATTCAAATCAAACCTGAAGTTGGGGTTATTTGTCCTTGCTCTTCTCGAAGAAAGCACTTCAGTAACACAAACCAAGCTCATGTGCTAACCAAATGTAATAAAGCTCATACAAAATATTATTCCTAGCTTGTTAACATGCAAAAAGTAGTAAACGCACTTGAATACATTCCTTAGTGTTGCACAAATTCTGTAGGTGTGCATACTTATGCAAATCAAAGCAGGAGTGAAAAGCCTCAGCAAACCTTACCCTTTAATTTCCAGACTTTTGTAACACCCACTTTCCTTTTTCGGTAAAAGATGTACTTCATCAAATCCCACATTGCAACACTCCTAGACCAGTCTGTCAGCTTTCACTACGTCTGTCCCAGACAATGAGGAGAATCTGTTGACATGACAGACTGTGAAACTGGTTAGAAAGTTTAATCTTCTTCCACAGGAAGGGATTCCTAAGTTTGGTAAGTCTTGGAAGAAAAACAGAAGGGATCATTGCTATGAACTAAACAGAAAAGACCTGTGTTCCAAATTTCAGAATTCTGAATAGCAGCCTAATGTGGTAAATTTATTGAGAAGGTCATTTTGCAAAAACGGAATACAACTGATTTTTAGCATTTAAAAATCATTTAATAATGGGCCTGACCGTAAAATAGTGGCACAACAGAAATGTAGGGTGCAAACGTGACATGGAATGCATAGAACCTCTGGGGCGGACCAGCCACAGTAAATACAACAGTTGTCATCACGAGTGTAAATTCACTTTTGTTGGCTTTTTTCTTTTTTGCCTAGAAGATAAGAGAGTGTATATAAATACTGTAGAGAAAACATTGAAAAAACACCTTGTTTTATTTCTCAGAAATGCTGGAAGGGGTTTCAGCTCAGTCAAAAACGCGTAGGTTTGTTGGGCCAAAACTGCCCTTCCTGGTTCCTACAGTTTGCTATGCATGTTATGAAAAAAATATTAATGATTAGATGGTAGGAGATCGTGAAAAACATCAACTAAGGAACTAATTCTTGACAGACAGAGGACATAGTGTTTCAAAACACAGTGCTTAAAAGCGTTAACTTCAAGGAAGTAACAGGAAGAGGAACTCCCACCATTTCTGCTATCGTGGAGACTGAAAAAATGTACTCCCATCAGCCACAAAACCCCAGTTCGTTAGTAAGCAGAATGGTATGGTAGACATATGTCTAGAGGATCTCTGGATCTAGAGTTTGGTGGGATTTAATTTAAAAAGCAGCTCAGAAGAGTACAAATTTGAAAGAAATGAGAACTTGCAGTGCATTGCCTTGAGCATCTGTCTTCATTGAAGGTGGCAACAATCTGCTACATTGCATAATGCTGCTATACTTAGTTTTAGTTGAAGAGAAATACAAACCTGAACAAATTAATAGCTACTTGATGGTTAAAACATACACATTTGGCATTCCAGCCCACCATCCCTGCACTACTTGTCAATTTCCTCCTCATTGCCTCCCAGGATTATGGAACAGTGACATGCCTACAATTCAAAGCTTCCTATCCTACAACTGTAGAACTTAGATTTGCCAAACATATGACTACAACTCCTAGAAATCATCCCATATTTTCATGCACAGTATATTTATGGGATGGAGCTTCCCATGGCACATACACTGCTGTCAGCTGTCTTCACAATGCAACTGAAACACCGTTGTCTCATCCAAACTGCTCACTCTTACAATCAACCAGTCAGAAACACTGCATTTATGATTTCACTTAATTACCCTCTCCTAACTCCAGGAATTCCAAAAAGCAATCTGAAGAGCAGCATTTGAGAGGATCCCCAGCTTAAAATCATACCATGAAAAGCCATTAAAACAGGCTCTCCTACATAAAGATGCTTGGTTGACTTGAAATACTCCCTTTCCAGCCCATTTCACAGCTGACTCCAGTTGAATTTCATGAAATTTGAGGAGGGAGAATACAGTATCTCAACATCCTTCTCCATAAACTCTTAACAGAAACTGTGGAAAGGGAAACTTAAGGTAGAAAAACGAAACAAAACAAAACAACCCCACCAACCTACTAAAATAAATTACATAAAGTTCTGAAATCAACATCACTTTTGAGGCAACCTTTCCAGAGACCTCTTGGATTCCTTTCTTCTCTGAAGCACCTTTTGTTGTTTTAGGTTGTAAGGTCGTAAGAATAACTTTAACTATAGAAGCTATATGCATCTTTTAAGAATCACATTTTGATGATTATAAAAATTTATCTATTATACAACATAGGTCCAGCTACACTGAAAAAATTACACCGCTTATTGAAATACATTTCATTTTAGAAACTGACTACTAAATAGGTCTATACAAAAAACTCTAAAATAATTTCTGTAGTAAAATAAAGAGTGTGTTAGGAGAGCTACACAAACAAGAAATTTTTTTGTCTTTCTTTATAATGCTCAAATATACCGTGATACGTGGCTGGCTCACTCCATAGCCGGCACCAAAAGCTGAAAAGAATCCATTACGATACACAGTGATACAATTAATGCTCTGTATTAATCTCACAGCCTTTCCGATTAGTACAAAGAAAACCAGGCCTCTCTCCTCTTTGAGGAGAAGTCCAGGATATAAAAGCAAGCATACCTCATCAGCTGATATGAAATTATAAAATTCCACAAGTCTCAGTATCCGAAATTTATAAAAGTCACCAGGAAAACACAAGCAAATCGGGGTTAAGTCCTGTTGGTTCCCAGGTTCAAATGAGCACTGCTGATCCAAAACAGGATTTCCTTGTTTGCTAAATGATTCAAAGGAAAAATCGGGACCATCTGCTGGGGCTACGAGAGAGACGAAAGTCCTCATCAACTAACCCTCTGCACTTCCATGAGGGCATGTTTCCATGTGCATAAAGTGGGAAAATAGCTGGCAGGAAGCAAAGATGTTAGTGGTGCTGTGCTGAACTGTTTTTTTCTGCCAGGTGTCGCAAAAAGCTGTCCTCACTCTGACCCCTGTGATTTAAAGGCTCACTCTTAAAAAGAGCAGGAGGAGGGGGTAAATGGGGCACGGGGGGAACTGGAAGATGATGTGGATGGTGAGGATGAGGATGTAGGTGAAGATGTGAATACGGATGGGGAATGGGGCGTGGAGGAAGCGTGCTCACTGGGTTCAGGTTGATTGGTGGGGTTGGGGCGGTGGGTGCGTTCACTACAGCAGGAACTGTGGAGGCAGAAGTTGTGGACAGTGGGATCTGGACAGCAGATGACACGTTAACAGGGCTGGTAACACGGAAGCACTTCTCCTTGTGTGCCTTGAGCATGTTGGAGAAGCGAAATCGCTGGCCACAGACATCACATGGGTAGGGCTTCTCCCCTGTGTGAGTTCGGCGATGTCTCTTCATGTTTGGGCGGCTGGTGAAGCTTTTCCCACAGATTTCACAGATAAAGGGCTTCTCTCCTGATAAATATGGATATGGCAGTTGGTTAGACACTGAACGTTTGCTAACACTTACTTCAGCATGCTTATACAAATTGTAGACTACAAAAGCTATTTTAGCTGCTACCTTCAGCAAACAGATTCATCTGTTTCACAGAAGCCCCCAGTCTTTATGATATCCTCTCTCACCTTAGGATTATGATGACCCAAGAAAATCTTCCGTAAGGCCTAACCTCTCAGTTCCCCGGGCAGTGAATGAATCACTATACATTACTTCTTTCCATTTAACAGGAAGTTATCCTATTACTTTCTCCTTTCTGATTTTCTGTTGGGTAACAGCTTTGATCCCAAGTTCCAAGGGAGGGAATACAGGCAAAAGAGTAGGAATGTCTCTGTGCTGTAGGTACCTGTACTTTTCTCTGCTAAGTTCTTACCAGTGTGTGTCTTCATGTGCTCATCAAAGTACTGTTTCATATTGAAGTCTTTGCCACACCACTGGCACATGAACTGCTTGTGCCCGATGTGGATGCTCATGTGGGAACGCAGCTGATACTTGTACTGAAACCTCTCATCACAGTTCTGCAACAGAAGGACAGCAACCGTGATATTCAGGCATCACACATCAGGAAGCAAGGCAATCATAGGATAGCACTCAAACATATTAAGTGAAGGAGGAAAGAATTCATCCATTAGCACAAATACATACCCTCATGTCCTACAAATGCAGGACTTAAGTTACTTAATGACAGAAGAAACTGGCCTGTACTAAAAGGTCTGCTGCCACAGTAGTCTTAGCAAGGAGTACGGAATGCTTGCAGCCTTTATTTGACATAGCTGTTGGTAAAACTCTGGGAGAGACATAGTTATGGCACAGTTATGGCAACAGAAAAGTGCTTCTGTTCACTTAATGTGCCAGGTGGAGATTCTTTGCCAGCTGTAGCTGTTCAACTACAGCATGCCTCCACTAGAGGACTCTGCTCACACAGCAAAACCAAAAGCAGCACACTAAGGCTTGCATTTCAGAAAGACAGATCGGTTTCCCAGCCATTATTTATTGGCATGAAGTAATTTGTTTTCCTACAAGCTCTGTGTGGCTGCAGTACTGCCATTACTATTTCACAGGCTGCAGGAGTTTTTCTCCACTTTGTGGACAAGGCGAGGCACTGGACCTGACCTGGAAGCAGGAAGTGCTCTGCACCAGGGCCTGCCTCCATCATGTGATACCCACAAGCATCCCCATCACATGATCGAGACATTATCTGCACTAGACACATGACTGGCTAAGTCTATCCCATACAGACCTCCTTCGTGGGGTCAGGGAAGGAACTACAAATCACAAATACACAAGAAGGCATTACTGAGATCCTCCCTACTTCCAACTGGTGTTCAAATCCTGCTGAAGTATTTCTGTAGTGCTCTTGTTGAGAAAAACATGACAGCCAACCTTAAAAGCAAACCAAAAGCCTCTCAGTTTGAATTACTGTTAGATGTGCTCTGCCTGCTCTCCAAATGGAGAATAATTTTCCCCAGATTCTTGTGAAACTGCACCTTGTATACAGTCGGTCAGTTCTACTTTCACCTACTGACAGCGTTATTAATCTTATGTCTTAAGCTACCACATCTAAAAACACTCATATTTACAGGCTCACCTCACATCTGAAAGGCTTCTCTCCAGAATGCTGTAGGGAATGTACCTTGAGAGACATACTGCGTTTGAATGATTTCCCACAGGTTTCACATGTGAAAGGCATGTCCTTTGTGTGTGCTGCAACACAACAGCATGTTACAGACAGTCACTAAAATGCAAACAGTCCTTGAATCAAATTTCTTCTCCAGCACTGAGCAGGAAGATGATCAGTATTACACAGCTTACAAGTCCGTATACGTATGCTACGTACACACATATATATTTTTTGATTGTTGTTAATGTTGCAGACTTGACCTTTTAGCTATGGATAATGCTTGGACAACTGAATCTGCCTTATTTTTTTGTCTCCCCCAAACAATTTGGAGTGACAAAAATGAAGATGTTTTGGGGTAGAACCAACAGAAACACTGATCAATAACTCACCAACCATATGTTTCCGCACATGGGCCATGGTGTAGAACTTCTTTTCACATATCTCACAAGAGAATTTCTTTTCTGCGTATCCATGGACAATCTTGATATGCTCATGGAGGGACCAGAGTTTCTTGAAAGACTTATTACAGGAAACACACTGAATGAATAGGATAAATACAAGGAAGTTTACATTAGAAAGATTCAACCTCGCAGAGTTAAACCGTGTGTCTTCCTCTCATGTTGCAAAAGGAAACCCCACAGAGGGCAAAATGCTGTGTACTCTCTCAGACTGCACTTCAGAATACTTCCACTGTTTCACAGCTGAAACAAATGCACTAAGAAAAGGCTGCAATTTTAATTAAGCAGGATTAGAGAGGGTGTTAACACACTGCATTTTGGTGCTAGCCAAAGAGGATGACAGCCTCTGTGCTTATTTCCAAAACACATACATTGCTGGATGCAGCCTCCAGGGAACAAAGCTGCAAGCCCTAACAGAGACTACAACTTCACAGGCTCTGATGCTGCTGGTAATCTAAAGCCCAGCATGGGAAGAAGCCAACAAAGGTGAAGGGGCCTACCACCATCTAGCTGTTAAGCCTTTCTGTCCACCTAACCTGGCTTTGGGAGCACTGTGACTCCTGAGATTGCAGGTCTCCTAACTCTTGAACTAGTCAAAGCACTCTCAGTCTTTTAGCTCTGTACAGAAGACAGCTTCCATCTTGCAATTATTGATCATGCACAGAACCTGGCACACAGTTGGTACAGCATGTTGTCACTGCCATGTGTTACATTCTAACTCTTCACTTAGACACATCAGTAATGCTGAAGGTCTAAAATGACAACATACAGACAGTATTTTAAATCTCTTCCCACAACTACTGTGAGACATCCATTAAGTCAGTGATGAGCAGGATGAACAGGCTTTTATATGTGTTTTCTTCCCAAAGGTTCTTGCTAAAGACTTCATAAAAATCCTTGCACAATTCTGCAAATTCCATAATAATCTGAGTTTTGAAACTTGACAGCAGCCATACATATGAGGATACCAAGTCAATTTCATCTTTCAAGTGAAGAGGGAAGGAACTGTAGGTTGTTGGTTTTGATGGCTGTTGGGGTGTTCGGGGTTTCCAGTACATCAGTTACCCTTCTCCCCCAAAGCTGGAACAGCTGTATGCTCTGCACTGAAGAACTAACAAATATCATGCCTTCTGTCAGCTTGAGTTGTTTCTTCTCTGCATAAAGCAAGTAATGCTGCTTCCACAGTACTTGAATCTCTGCACGCCTGGAGAATCTGGTACAACACTCACCATGCTGACTGCAAGGAGGTCCTTTACCTCAGAAAGTATCTACTTGGAGGCATGTCAGGAACAAACTGCAGTGCAGGGGAGCTGGGGGGAGAACACAGAGTGGAACGGGACCCTAGAGAGCAAAGCAATGCTAAGAAATGATGAAAAATCCTTTAAGGTTAAATGAGTCCTTGAAGCTGTCAATCTACAATTTCGCTGATGACCACTGCAAGCAATTCAGACCACTAACATTGACATCTACTACACAGACTCTAAGATGACAATGACAATTCTGGGAAGGTGCTCATTTTGAAAGGATAAAGCCAGAAATTATCTGGAAAAAAAAAAAAAAAAAGATATATTCCATGACTTAGATGAAAAATGCAGAGAATGGTCAGTCATATTTATCACCTCTTACATAATGGAGCCATTTGTGTTTAGATAATTGTGTCTCCCTTGACACATTAAACCCTGCATTAATGTAACACTTTCACATCCCTTTACTCCTTTTGCCAAGTGTAATAAAAACAAATTTGCAGGCAGCTGTGAAATGCATTCCAAATGTTAAGCCTAACAAAAATAACTGCTGGATATATACTTATAGCAAAAATGTGAAGATGTGTAGCAGTGCCTCCACCACTAGGAATAACAGGGAAGCTTCCTGGAGCTGATTCTTCTGGCACTGGATATAAAACAATTTCTACAACTTCTTTTTCTATTCCTTTGGACAAAGGAATGCAACCCCTCAAAGGCCCATGGTTGCATGGATTATGGGATGCTTCTCTGTTCTATACTACACAAACTACTTGTGAATTCTTGTTTAAAATCAAAAGATTTTATGCTGTGAATGAGCCATCTGGATGATAAGAGTATTCCTGCACCTTAAGTGCCCTCTGCCACAAAACTGTGCAACAGTTTATTTCAAAAATTCAAAGAAATATCTATGAGTTATCTATGCATTTTACTAGCTATGCTCAAGACTCATCATATTATACATTCCTTCCTTCAGTCTTCCTCCTATGAGCTGAAACATAAGGAAAAACAGCATAGCGTTATACAGACCTGCATTAGAGTCGTGCAGCAAAGAGAAATTGCAACAAATATTTCAACCGTCTCCCACACAGTGGGGACTGAATAACAATTCAGTTCAGCACTTCAGCAAATAAACAAACTAAAAACGTTTTTGGTAAAACTTACTGGACAGACAAACAAAACCTTGTTGCCCTACAAACTCCAGACATTTCAGCTGCAAAGAAACTGAACCCGAGCTGCTTCACCCTGGCAGTGGAAGAATTTCAACTAGGCAACACCACGCCAAGTTTAACAAGGCAAAAAAGCACGTTCAAATCGCCAGATAAAACAACATTGCCCCCAGTTACATGAGAACACAGATGCCTATGAGCAAAGTACAAACCACAGATGAATAAGAAACTAAAACTCTTTCCACAGCTTTAACTTTAAAATGGTTCTATTACAACACAGGCTTCCATTGTTGTATAAAATCATACACTGGAAATCTTCTGGTGAGTAACACCAGACATCTCTGCATTATCAGTAAGATTTACTTGCACTGAGAACAGGGCAGGCTCATGAGCAGGCTTACTCACTGAATTCATGCGTTTCCCTGTGAACACATGAGCTACATGCAATGCTGCGTTACTTATATATGATTATCTCAGTAGGATTTAAAGAAGTTACATCTTAACACAACTCCAAATCCTGACTTGGCTAGTTTCTTTCTCACCTGCTTGCCTCTCCAGTTCTGTAAAGTTTTCTGCTTATGATACCACTTATATAATTTCATTCTCCCCTGAAACCTTAGCTTCTAAACTTGAAAGCTAGTGATAGCTGCAGGTGCTCAGCACCTGAAGAAGTTGGCTCTACTCTGTCAAATGCACTTGTTTCCAGGCCAGTTACTCTAGAGTTTGACATTTGTTAAAGTGGCTTTGCATTTTCCCCAACATACAGTTAAATACTAGAGTAACTCTGCTAAATCAGACGACGCTTGCACACTTTGTTCCCTACCATTTACTTCTTTTGGAAGACACCAGGTGTTGATAAGCAGAGACAAGGCCTTGGTCAGAACCTGGTCTGCACAAAAGATTTCCCCCTCTGAAGTGTCCGCTAGCTGTATCCAGGGCACGACAGAAGGTATGGAAATCTGGCAAGCAGGTGAGCAAACCTACCTGGATATTTTTTTCACAGTCTGTTTGCTGGTGAAGGGACAGCTCACTTTCTAGAACAAATTTCTTCCCACATTTGTCGCAGATCTGCATGCGCCTGTGAGTGACGTTCATGTGCTTCTCCAGGTACCAGCGTGTGTTAAACACCCTGGGGCACTTCTCACAGGTTAAAGTCTCCTTCTCTTCACACTTTGATTTCTGCACAGGTGCCTTGGGCTCCTTTGCAGCTTTCTTCTTACGCTTGGGGGGCTCCACACTCTTTCTACGACCCCTTGTAGTTCTGGGTGATGGGGAAGTTGTGGCTGCTGCAGCAGATGCAGCTCTCCTTGTTCTCCTTTGTGCAACACTAACTTTTTCCACTCTTTTCTCTTTTTTCTTCTGCCTCTCATTTTCCTCATAATCATTACTGTCTTCAGTGGCCTCTTCCCCACTGTCACCCTCCTCTTCCTCACTGCTGGTCTTAAGAACAGCAGTCTCTTTGGACTGGGAGGGGACACCCTTCTCCCCTTTTGATACATTTAATGTTTGGTTGTTAAGGTTTACCTCTACTATAATCTGCTCCCTTTTGTAAGTCACTTCATCTTCCTCCTCTTCCTCCTCCTCAGAGTCGTCAGAGTTTTCTCTATCTTCTTTCACAGCCCGGACTTCTCCTACTGATCTGTTCTCCCTGAAATACGGCTGCTCCTCTCTTTCATGGAGATGTGGTTTGCTCATTTTGCTGTCCACCAACACTGGGTAAGGACTTCCTGACTCTCTCTTGTATACTTTGGTGGACAGATCGAGTTCCTGGCTGGCACCATGATAAAATGTGGGTGGCACTTGACCACGGCGACTGTCCTCTTGCGCCATACCTGCTACATGCACAGCACAGTTTTCAACCAACTGTTGGCAAGAATTGGCTGTTTGACTCATCTGGGGGGGCCTGATTCATTAAGCACCTTTAATCCCAGAAAACCAAGCAAGCAGCTTTAAATCAGGGTGGGTTCTCATGACCGATGCCTGTTCCATCTACACAGAAGGAACAAACCAGGATTCTCAGCTGATGTTTAGCACGGATGTGTAGGTCACAGAACTCTGATATTATGGCAAGAGCAGAGCAGTAGAAATTATTCTTCTGAAGAAAGTTGCCAACGAACTGTTGAACATTTTATCTATAAAAGACAACAGAGAACATAAGGTCAATTAAAAATAAAAAAAATCACTAAAATATTCACCAAATTCTTTTGAGTTTGTACAACTGAGGTAAAGCCCAGTGTATACCATCTATGAGCTGCATCTCCTGCGGGGGGGGGGACTGCCCTACAGCATTATCTCAAGCAAACGTGGGAGTCAGGCACAAATTCATGCACCTTTATGTGAGCTAGAAGTAGACTTGTGAGGATCTGAAATCAAAGCACAGTATTAATTTCCAGATGAATGCTCTCCACCCGCCAAAGACCAACTATCACTGCCTCAAAGCTGAGTCAGTGTGCTGATCTGTGTTTCTGCTGGACACTCTGGAGGACTGATGGTCCCCAGACAATGCACTACTCTACATGCCTCTCCATCAAAAGAGGTGTACGCCTACCTATAAACAGCTCTTCTCCATCAGAACCTTCACTGGAGAGCCCATTCTTACCCAGAAAGTGGGCATGTTAAGTTTTTATACCAAACAACATTCCATTAGTGTAGATACGCATGAAGAATTTCAATGGAAACATTTTCAACTGGCAGCACTGACTGAGGTTAAGAACAGCGTGTCCCCTCCTTGTTTCCACCTCAGAAATCCCTCAGAGCCTCTTGATTTAAGATACCTTATTCTTTTGTCTCACTCTCCCTTCCCCCAGCTATTTGTTCCTCACTGCAGTAGCCAAGTGATATTACATTTGCCCATCTAAATTTCAGTTATGTTATCCAAGTTGGAATTTGACCAGGATACCATTACTTCCTCTTGCAAAAATTATCACGTGATCCCTAATGAATACAAGTAATCAAGCCCTCTCATTTATTTTTTACTAGGACAATTACATTTTAGTAGCACAGCATTAACCATACCAAGCCAAGATTGTTGGTTATGTGGATCAAGTCAGAAATACATCAGAGCTGCTCATGCAAACAGCACTTGAAACTACAGGATGCAGAGGTTAATGAAGGAGAGACTGGGAGAGATCCCACGAGGAGATCATCACTCATGTTTGCTTTTAGGGACCTTCTCTAAGTATGAAGAAAACAGAAGTCCCGTTACCAGGGCCTGAAAATCTCATCGAGTTTCATGTTAGAAACCTCAGGCAGCAGACAGGAATAAAACATTTACACTTGTGGACTCATACTCTGATTTTTATTATTATTCTTGGTGCAGTAATGAAAAACAACCAATCTGAAGCAGTAACACAGACAGGGATTTTTATCAGAAATTTCCTTCCACTTCATTCTGAGTTACTTTCCACACAACAAATGCAGTAACTTCCTTCCAAACATGTTTTCATACAATGTTTTATATGTTGCAGTTTCAAGCTTACTGTTCCAATAGAAATTTCCCCCTTCCAAATGAATTTAACTGAACAGGAAATAAACCTACCAATGGTCTCAGTTGTTTGAATAATAAAAAAGATTGAACCTTGCCCTAATCTTTCTGAAATAACACACTGGGGAAAGTGACTTACCAACAAGCAGTTGCTTGATTACAAGCCTGCAGTTAGTTAAAAAGACTCTTGAACAGCTCTTGCAATTTCCAAATGCACTCAACAAGAACCCTGCAGGCAGACTCACAAGCACCCCAGCAGCACGGTCTGCTCCTGCTGCTCCTGCTCTCCCCAGCCCAGCAGGCTCCCAGTTGCAGCTTCCCAGCTGCAGAGGTGAAGGAGGAGGAGGAGAGCCAAGCCCAGCTGGGCCAGGAAATACGTGGAGATGGGGCTGTTAACATTGGCTTGTGATCACAAGTAACGTTCGGATGGAAATGCTAGTAAATAACCAAATAAGCTGGCTGTGATTGCAAGCCAGAATTAACAATCCTATACCCAGGAAGGAGCTTAAAAGCAATGGGTGCGATGCAATCCACCGTTCAGTTTTTCTCTGACAACATTTAATAAATTATTCAGCTGCTCCCAAAAAATCACTATGTTGCATAGAAAACCACACCTGATTACTTGCTGGGCACATTAAGCATTTCTCACAAACTGCAGGAGGAGTTCAGGAAGGCTACCAGAATTCTGCTGCTACCCAGCCAGAAAAAAGCAAAATCTCATCGTGAGAAGAAAGCTTTAACTTTTTAACCATTAATGCTGAAACATTCTTTCTGCCATCATTTCATCTGTGCCCGTTTACGGCACATCCAATACAAAACACCACTTTGTATGAAGACGTTACCACTTCAAAAAACAGTTTTTAAAGAAGGGCAGATTACGAGTTATCAAAGCTTCTGGGTCTGAAAACCACTTCAGCCTGCAGGCACCGTAACCTACTTTCGCTTTCAGTGCACTGCTTGCCACCCTCGAGGGACCCACAACTTTCGAACAAAACTATTTAGCAGCCAAACAGCTGGTAAAGCAAAGCCCTCCTCATACATCAAACACAAACAATGCACTATTGGGCGGCTGACAGTTCTGAGAGGCAGCAGTTCAAACACCGTGAAAAAATCTTGCAACAGAACTTGTTTGTTTTTTCCTCTAATCTCAGACATAAGAAATCTTATAGGGGGAATCCATTTCTTTTTTTAAAGCTGCTCAACAGCTTTGAAATGAAAGAATGAATTTCAGCCATACTACAAATGAGAGCAATGAACGTTCTCATTGAAACATAGATGGGATCACAGAATCATAGAATGGCCTGGGTTGAAAAGGAGCACAGTGCTCATCTGGTTCCAACCCCCTGCTGTGTGCAGGTCGCCAACCAGCAGCCCAGGCTGCCCAGAGCCACATCCAGCCTGGCCTTGAATGCCTGCAGGGATGGGGCATCCACAGCCTCCTTGGGCAACCTGTGCCAGTGCCTCACCATCCTCAATCTAAAGCTTCAAAGTTGGTTTTTGGAGATTCAAGACATAAAAAAAACCAAGGAATGACCATTAATGAGCACAGAACGAACTTAGGAGGCGCATGCAGTGTTTGGTAATCGAAGATTGCATGAGAAATGATTGCAAGCCTACCAACATCAAAGCTCACACCCAGAAAGAAAGCACACATACACATACACACATATATATACACACACACACGGGTGGAGGAAGCGTTGTGTATGTGGGAACAACGCTTCACATAACGCTTTTGCTGCTTCTTGAAGAAAAACACATTTCTTTGTGCTTTCTGGACTAAAAATAGAACAGTTTCTAACACAGAACACTGCCTGCCTCAACTTTGACTCAGCTGATGCCTTGAAATCAGTGCAGACCAAGTCCAATATTCAGAGGGGTTAACGAATTTAAATTACACGTCCTTTAGGGCAGAGGGAGGCCTCTGAAAGCGGCCAGCTTGAAGTCTGGATATCTCAGATTTTAGTCCGACGCGCATTCAGGTTGTGTGATTTGTGTGCTGGCAAGCATCCACCAAAAGCAGACACTGATGTAAAGAGAAATACTGCTTACCCACCCTTTCTAAGTACGTGAAGTGGTAGCACAGTCAGTCTTGCATATCAAGGTTCCCTGGAAGCTCCTGACCCCTGCGTGGCCTACAGCTGTTTGCCTGAGGTCAGAAATAGGCTGCCAGCTCCACAGACGTACACTGAACTGCTCATTCTTTCTGCCTGCACTGTTTCTGCCGGCTCCCTGAAGGGGAATGGAAAAGCTCCCCACAACCAGCGACAATCCACCCTCCTTTTAAGTACCAGTTTCACTGCTGCCACCAAGTTATCAGTATTACATCTGAGAACTGGCAGACATTGGTCTAATTTGTTTTGCTGTAGGTTGGCAAGTCTAGGAGAAGTAATGCAGGCACGTGGAGTGATGCATATACATGTGAAGATAGCACTGCATCGATTTATTACTTAGTTAACATCTGGAGGTTTCCCCACTCTTCCCAGATTGCTGTAAGGGCCAAAAAATCACTTCAAAAGATAAAAATCCATCCTTCAATTTACAAACCATTGCCATTCTGTGTCTGCATTAACAGTTTGAAGGCGTTAAAGATCCTGGATGTCCTTTGGTTGGAAGCTACAATCCAGCAGCTCCACTGCAGCCAATGCTGCACACAGTCTGCAAGCACTGAAACAACCATGTGTATAAAATAAATCACTTATATTATACAAGATAACGTGCCAATTTCAAACTAGTCAAGTATTTGTTGAATAAACTGCTCTTGGAGTCAATAGCAGGTTGGGGGGATTAAATGAACACAGCCCCAACATTATGCCATGCTGGGGACGCGCCACAGGCTGACCACCACCCAAATTTCTAATTGAAACTGGAGAATCTGCTTCTCTGCTTCCGATGGCTGTGTGTTAATTCAACAGGTAGGAATGCCCAGGACAGCTAAAAGCTGAATTCAGAATACAGCAGGATAGCTCAACCCTCTCAAAATAGCAGGATTTTAAGTAAGAACACTTCCACCCCTATTAACGACCTCATTTGGGTGTAGAAGAAGTACGAGGATTGTTTTAAGGCAGCATTAATTGTGTTCAGTTTGAAAGGTAAGTGTAAAGGTGGAAGTAAAGCAAAGGTGATTTTTTGCTCAGCTTCTGTAAATATTTGTAGTAATCAGTGTTACCCATTAATCAATTTAATGTCACAAATTTCATCAGATGGCAAGACAAAGATGCAAGGGAACGCATCAGCAAAATGAGTTTCTCTCTGAATTCTGAGTAGCACATTAACAAGAAATGACTACAGATGCAATGCTGAAGTCAAGGCTTTGAGTAAAATGCTCCTCGCACATTTCAATACATCAGCAATATCTCAGAGCACATGAAAAAAAGCTGCAATACAGCCACACAGTTTGAAGAACAGGTGCACGAAACAGAGCAGTGCACAGGCACAGCAATTCCCAGTTAATGGTAAAACACATCTGGTACAAGTTACATCGTGTCAGCAGAGGGTAATCAGGACTATAGGACAAGAGGGAATTATTTACATCGCCGTACAATCGCTCCTTTCTTGTGCATCTCAGCTGCTTCAAATGCAAAAAAAAAAAAGGAAACGTTCTTTACTTGTAAATCCTCTCTCAAGACAGCACAGTGCTGCTGTTTC